CGCTCTGCGAAATAGCCCTGGACGAGGGGCGTACGTCAGCTGGTATTATTTCAAGATGTTATGAACTTCTTGACTGTTATATCAATCTTCTTGATGGCAAAATGCTGTAATTGCCTGTACGCTGCCTTCGTGCTTCACATTCCACTTTGACCAATGAGAACGACGAAAATTTTAAGCATTTATTCAAGGTTTCGTTGAAAAAGCTTCACGCTGTAACATAACGCAGTCCACTTCGCGGAATGGAAAACCCATTCCGTGGCTCTATGCGGTCCGCCGTCCAATGAAGGGAATGCTCCTCATTTGAAGATATTGAAGCAAGCATCATATATGATGAAGTAGACTCACTTATAACTATTGGTATACTTTTGAGTGGAAAGACTACCCTGGACAAAAACTGCTATTTTTTTTAGTAAATATGCTGCTCAATACAGCATTATTTGTCTGCGTCATGGAACGTTTGTATAATATTGAGGCACTTCGAAACTAACCGTAAAAAATCGCCACCTACTTGTAGTACTCCAAACTCGTCGATAAATTGCAGCACGGGCCGGAGGTATTCGCTGATGAACCCAAGTTGGCTGCACCGAATATCATAATGTGCTGATATTTTGGCCCTTTCTTGTGCTGTTCTTGCACATTTATCCGTGAGTTTAGGATGTCTACTTGTGTTTAGATACTGGGTTCTGGCGTTATTATCAAGAAATTCGACAACGAGTTTTTTCGTAAAACTAGCAAATGAAAAAAACATATCCAACTTTTTATATTATATAGCACAAAAAATGCTTTGTGATTGAAGCTTGCACAGGCTGTTCAACGTTGCTTGAGAGCTGATTGGGTCCGCTATGATTGGGAATGGCGCTAATGGATCTAGTTCTGAACCGTTGGACGATGATATTCGTCTGGCCTTGAACGCCGCCTGGCCTGTAGCGTGACAGAATTTGAATAACGTTGCTTTGGCGTCATGCATATCTGAATGGCCTCAAGATAGTCTGCACGATGAAGTATGCACATCTTCACGGGCGTATAGCTCAGAAACTAGATGGTTTTGGTTTTAAGAGGGGCACGGCTGATGCTGCACCGAAGGATGTTCAAAATAGCTGTTTCAGCTCAAAACTCCATACAAATGTGAAACACTCCCTTTAACTGGCTTGCCCAATATCCCGCTCCCTTCACATAATGCCGTTTATGTTTCTTATTGGATGATGATGACGTGATATACAACCTTTTCCGTGAGACGTGGTCATGACTCGCATCCGTTTGAAGGTGGCATACAAGGTGAACCGTTTGTTTTTGTGTATGCTCATAATGTTTACTTGATCTGAAGACACAAGATTGCTGTTGGTCGTGCACCTGGGCATTCTGGCATGGAGTGAGTACGGTGAGTGTGAGGTACAGGCTAATGAAAGTTCGAGACCGACACAACTTATGTTAACCTGACTCACAAAAAGGACTGGCACAAGCGAAGTCGTCACGAGTCTAACTATCACGCAGAACAACTAGAAATCTGCCACAGGGATCCGTCTGCTGCATCTGGATTACATCCATCCGTCTCCGACGCGCTTCGCCTTTTCAGGGAGCGCATTCTGCAAAGTACGCTGTGTTAAAGGGAGAGTCCAACATTTGTATGTGGTTTTGAACTGAGATAGCAATTTTGAAGATTGGACTCAGTGCAGACTATTGCCATTCCCTTTTTAAGACCGGCAACTCTCTTGCCTCCGAACCTGATGCCTGCGAACTTGTGCGGTCTATTTCGTGCGTACTATTTTAAGGTCACCCAGGCATGCATGTCGGTATTAAAACGTCACATGATTTCTGTCACTTCATTGGTCAGGTAATACTCAGGTATACCCTATCGAAAGTGTCAAGTGCAAAAGTTGTGCCTAGGAAAAAATATTTGATTTAGTCATGCCTGGCATGAGTCAGCACGATTTCTGGCATCAGCGGGCTTGAGTTGGTCGTCAACCAATGTAACGCGTTCGGTGCATGTTTTGAACGCCAGTCACGTCTTTGCCACATAATACAGAAATTTGGACATTATCAGTGGTTATGGCGGAAATGAGACTGGGAATCAAATAACTTAAAAATTGCGCCGCAACCGACTATGTGGACACAAGAAAAAATATAAAATCACAGACACATATGCAAGAAGACGAGTACGGGCCAAAATACGCGCATATAACAGTATTTGGGTTCTGCAAACATGCACCGATTTCAGATGCTAATCCACCTCATGTGGTAGATCAGCATGCTACCTTTCGATAGGTTATAGTACCAAAAGTGAGTCACCCCTCCGTTATGGTAGCAATTTTGCACGGCCAGTCTGGCAGCGACTCTGACGTCATATAAACGTCCCATGACGCAATTAAACGATGACGCATGGAAGAGCATATTTCCTAATGGTAAAATTGTGTTGTCTAGAGGAGTCTTAAACTTAAAACCATGACCATGGTTGTAAGTGCGCTTATTTCATCATATCCGATGTTTGCCTCATTGCCTGCAAAGGTGGCATCTTCCGTTTAAAGACACAAAATACTGGGATAGCAAATGTAAGAACACACTGCAAAGTACACTGAGCATAGGCTTCATGCAGCTTTGTTTTCGATATAATCAATGGCTTTTTGGAGATTTGAATGCAACGTGCACATAAGAGCATTCTGCAAAACACACGGAGTTAATCGGAGTTAATACTATTCTAACCGCTGCATGTGTCAAATTTTTACATAAATTCAACCCGGTTCCGTTGTTGTTGACCGCCGGCAGCAGGTTCCGGGACAGGAAATCGCGACAAAAAACGCCCTACTCTTGTCGGGTATAGCCAGAGGGCGGGAAGGGCCAACACTGGCCAGCGCCGACTGCGCGTTACGCTCACATACAGCAGTGCGGCACGAACGGCAAACTGTGGTCCTGGGCAAGAGCCAGGCTTGTCATTGCCAGAGGCGGTGATATGACCTCTTCTCCCACGCGCTGCCACTGTCATCGGTTTCGAACAGGTACCAATTTACGTCGTGGATCGTCACAGAAGCACAGCTCGTTGCGTGCGCGCGTATTGTTCCGTCTGCGGTGCAATCGTCTGTTCTGTGCGCTGGCCTGTGGCGCTAAATGATTGCCGCAGTCGACGCGCCCCCTAAAAACCCCACATACTACCACTTCTCTTCAGTGTGCTTGCTTACAAATACAATGGCAGACAAAGATGCACACGCCGAATGGTGCTCTTGAAAAAAAAATGTCTACGAGGACGAAGTCTCGCTGTCAGTGCAACGACGGCGGCATTAGTGTTCACGCCTCACATGCGTCGATATCCCACAGTGGTTTCGTCCCCCTTACCCTGTGGCATTGTAGTCACCATTCCACCACCGGCATCTCATGGCGTTATTTCTGTACCCTTTGCGTAGTGTTTTCGGAGTCAAGATGGGACTGTTTGATGCCTGTCCGTGGTTCAAATGGCGTCTTTTTCAATGTGCTAGAGACTATTTTCAGTTTCTTACAAGATTCGTGTAGTCACAGGTACGGAAAGGATTGACTTACTGCACACGCTGAATTGTAATGTAATCCTTAAATGCATTCACACTGAGCTGTTTACCAAATGAGGGTTATAGTGTGGAGATTGAATTATGAACCATCCCAACTTTGTGATTCAGTCCGGACTGTAGCTATTTGTCATTCACAAAGCCCCTTCTCCTCCACTTCAAATTCCTTCTATCGCTAGAAGCATGTGAAGCACGTCGCGCAGATGGATCGAACTTGTTCCGCTCCACGACCTTGTCTGATAGGCTAGGATGCTCAATATTTTCGCGTGATTTAACAGTTGCTTGGTCTGCACTTTTTCTCGACGAATTAGCCCTTTTTTGTTCAAAACACCCACGTCTGAGGAGACAGTATTCCTGTAATCATTCATTCGTAGTGCGCAATCATCGTACCATGCATCGAAGCCGCCTGCCTTAATCTACGCCGGGAATGCACATCACGTGTCCATATATCACGTACCGCGCTTCACAACTGCATCTAAGCTGTTATAATACAATGAGTGCGTGCCTTGTTATGCCCAAAATGAGATAACAAGAATGAGTGCCGCAAGTTTTGATGTCCTTCCAAAGACGAATTACGGATTGGATTGAAATGATGTGTACAAGGATTGATTGAGTATCGGCTTGAAATGGTTTTAAAAGGGTTGCGTCCACCTGCATTGACTTCCAGTGCTCAGCACAGTGTTTAATGTCTTGTAAAAACAGTCTATTTTTGCGCTGAACTGTTCCGTTCAAGAACTTATCTATCCAACCATCCGACAGACAATTATCGGTCCATCAAAACAGACGGTGATCGACGAAACACGCAGCGCCCGTTCGCGAGCTGTGCGGCGGCTGCCCTGTTCAGCGGGCAGCGCGCCGCTGCTCGGGCAGCTCGGCGCGGGCAGATCACCGTTGCAGACAGCCGCTGCCGGTCCAGGCCACGGCTGCCGACCGGCTGATTAATTATCGGGCGATACTATCGGCAGTGCTGCACGCACGGCCCGCGGCCACCGGCCGGCCGGCACCGCATCTCGCCGGAGAGGCCGCCGGCGCAGGCCGGACTGGCCCCGGCTGAGTCGGTACGGCCGGCGGGCCGACGCTCAGGGTCCAGTGCCGTGTCCGCGCTGTCGGAGCGGGTGCAGTTATGTCGAGATGCCGGCTTAGGCATGTGCCGCGCGCTTCGTGAGTTCAGCTCGTGTGTTGTAGGGACCTCCGGTAATTTCAGGTAGAATGCAGAATACAAATAACCCACGTGGAATGGGTGGGCTTTTAGTTCTTTTGATTGCTTGTGCTTGATTTACCGTTGAAGGTGCATGTGCAGTGAACGCATTGAATTGAATTGAATCCCAAAGCAAAACAACAAAAGCAGATGGCAAACAACGGATGGCAAAATGCGTACCAGCGACACTTAATAGAATCTCTCTCACAACTGGGGCGAAGCCGCCTGGATCAGGCTGATGATTGATCCTAGTGTTGGGAACAAGAAACAGGTCGTCGTTCCATCTGAGTTCAAAGATGGATGTATTTGCGACACGCCGGCACGCGGCAGCACAACAGCAGCCGTCACACAACGGGTGAACCGGATCGGACCTGATGACAAATCAACAGGCCTCTTGAACAACACATGCCAGCCGAACGCCAATAAACACGACAGGCATCGGGATGGGCTCGGTCGGTGTGCAGAAGTTGCACGCGCAACATACGGAAAGCACGTTAGTGCATGTCCAAGTCCAGTATCAACCATGCCCATGTGTCGCCTGGCTCAGATCTGCGCGCCAGCTTCCCAGTCAGGTCATGTGGTCACCAGGTACAAGCGCAGCTCACTTGTTCACATCCAGGGGTCAAGTGGGTGCATCTTAAAAAGTTGGTAACATCCTTCATGCCAACATTTACCGCAACGTTTCATCTAAACTGCGGTCGGGTTTGAACCCACATTGTGCACAGGCTCGTAGGTGTTCATTTGCACGTGTGCACCGTCTTTTGCCGGACACATGTTTGGCACTGAACCTTGCAGCACCAGACGAACTTGCACTGGCAGCGTTCATTGACGGTGATGCGCTGGGTGTTGTAGCCCCGGCCACAACAGAGCAGTCCGCAGCCGTCGGTGCCTTTTGAAGTTCGCTCACACGCGCGACCAGTTGTTCCTGCGGAACGGTGAGTTGCATGGACAGCTATTCTCCCCGCATGGCTTGCAAAAGGCGAGCACATAAATGACAAAACCGACGTGATGGCCTTGCGGCTGTCACAAAACAGCGATTGCTACAGGAAATTCCGACTGGTTTCACGGTCGAAAATTCCCCAGATGTCCATTGTCTGCTGGCAATGCCGAGGGTCAAAATAACTAATTTCGTCGAAATGCTTTTCATGACTCGGCGTCGCCCTTGACAGACATGGCTTGCGGCCGGTGATGGGGGCCGCACTAAAGGTCAAGCAACGTCAGAGAGCAGGACGGCCGCGCCGTGCATTGCGACGCGTTAAACCTTTGCCACCAAATCCTGTCGTTGACCTGGAACTAAACTATCGGATGGTAGGTGTCAGGGCTCACGCAACAAGCATCTTGACAGGCACTACTTAACGTGATCTCAAATCCCAGAAATCCACCCATACAATAAGCTTCCGAGCAAATCTAAAAAGCGCGCCTCGGCATCAGAGCACAAGTGCCCTGTCTCGCGACGTGTCTGAACCTCCTGCAGAGGTCACCACTGACCAGACGATCCGAGCGCTTCGTTCCTCCTGCAGTAGTCCGGACTCTCCTGGATGTAAACCAGATCGTTGGCGGTCGGCCTCCTGTACCGGCGGTTTTTGACGCGCAGCCGGCCGCGGCGACTGACCTTGACCTCCGTCGCTCCGTCGTACTTGTCCTTCAGCGTGTCACCTGATGACACAGTCGACATCGGCTTGAATCAGCATGTCACGCCCAGCATCGGTCGCCCTTCTGGACGGCCAAGTGCCAGAAGGCCTTTGAAGGCTCAGGAGGCCGGCGTGCTGTCCGGCATTGACTGACCGCGTGTGGTCAGCGTTGTGTTTCACGCCCCCGGGCTTGAAAACACCCATAGAATGCCATATTTACGGTGGGAAGAGTACTACGTGGAAGGAGTGGTGCAGGTTGCTCATGAAGGTGGCTGCTCATGCATGCTCATTGATAAAAATATACCGCGGTGTATTTGGGGCCTTTGCCAGACGCGCAGATTGCAACTGTTCTTTATGGGATGTCCCAGAATTACACTGGAATGATAACAACTTCTGGTTAATGGCGTGTACCCTAACCGAAATGTGGATAATGAGAGCCGTGACACCCTTTGCGACTTAATTGAAAGGAGTCTGCAACAGAAATGAGCGAGCACCATCAAACTCCACTGCAAAAACCAAACGTCATCTGCATATAAATCGATTAAGGGATCCTTCGCAAAATCATAAAAGCAACGTCACTAGTCTCAACAGCGATGACCGAATGCAACGCGTGATATACTACAAGGCTGACGAGGTGTTCAACACGATCATAAAAACAGCCCAAATGATGACAAAAACAACTAAGGCATGCCGCTCTCACATATGAATGGCAACGCCCAAACACAGATTTTTGGCTTCGTGGCGCAAGTTGCACTGACATGATAATAACAACCCTATTAAGACGTTTAACCATGCATTTTCAGGAGGTGCTCCTAAAAATCACCTCCAGGAAACACAGACGATGCATAATGCGTTAAACCGTTACAGCAAACACCAGAGTACTGGCCTCTTGTCATGACCATGGTTGGCTTTCCCTCCTTGGGGTATTAGAGAAAGCCACCCAACCATGAACATTCAAAGTCATGAACAACTTTTGTGTTAAATGGAGCAGCATACTGGCCGGTGAAGACTGCTGCCCAGCCGCTCAGCTCTCTCCTATCTGCGACTTGTATTGACATGGTTTTCCAATGATAGTACTGTGGTGAAGAGTTTTTGCATGCCAAGGGTTGTCGTGTTCTTTTTCTAATGTTTGTAAGGCTGACTAACAGTAAGTTGCAAAATTTTTAACAAAAAGTTTCAAAATTCGCGTTGCCTGACTCTAAAAAAGTATCTCTAAAACGAAGTCAAGGTAAAAGCGTATGCTTATGATAGCTGCAATGTCGACTGAATATATGCATATCATATATGATTTACCAGACAAAATTAAATGTTTAACGCGAAGGTTCGAAAGGCTGAGAAAAGGTTGAGAGCGGAGATTTAGGCCTTGATATCCGAAAGGTGTCCCACCTTGAAGGTTAATAGCTCCGGAAATTTTCGACATGAAACACTGAACCAAGTTGGAACAAAACGGCGTTAAGGTAATTTTCACCGTAACAAGCGCCACGGCCAGTGCATACATACCAAACTACAGCGTGCATTTCAACTGCCCCCCCCCCTCCCCTTCGTCCCACATGCGCTTCACTGAGCTCAGTTCGTCACAGGACCTGTCTCACGATTGCAAGACCTGCATCACCGCCGGGGTGCACGTGTCGGACTGGATCCACTCATGCGTCGCTCGGACTTGCGGCTTCAGATTTTTAAGGCCTGTGGGCGGCTTTTGGTGGACTTGGTCCTTCAGATACCCACAAAGGAAAAATTTGGGGGTGTTGAATCGAAGCAGCGCGCAGGCCAGGGAATCGCCGTCTTCTTGGAGATAACACGACCTCCAGTCAAAGCCAGCTAAAAGCTTACCTGTCAACGTGAATATCGCCCTCTTTGAAACCAAGCTGGCTGAATAAGGATTTTTAAGTTTTCTCGTAGTCAGTATGGTATTTTTTGCCTGGAGATAGCTGAGAACGTTTTTTTTTTTTGTTCCGTGTAAATCCAGGACATGCCGCAGAAATCTCCGTACGGGCTAATCCGTAGTTCTCCCTCAGCGTGGCTATTTCTCTGGAGCGATTTTCTTGTGTTGGCGGTGGCGAACGTCATTCCAGGATTTTTTAACATTCCAGATAGCTATCACAGAATATCTGGCGGCCGAACGCGGACAAATTTTCACATCTATTTTCTCGTATCAACTTCACGTGACGTGCAAAATATGTGTTACGTTTTGCGCAGGTGAGAAAGAAACGTGGTACCTTTTCACGAGACGTCCCGTATATGCGCTGATGTTGCTTTCTGAGGCGCTCCCCACCAAAGGCAGGGCTGCAGGCCCCAAGCCCTCAGGGAGAGGCTTTACACTCACCTCCTAACTAAGCCCCTCAGCTTTGATAAGTAGGCCAACTCCGCGGTGAAGTCCGATTTGGGGTATGTAAGGTCGTGTTCCGCTTGCTCGCGGACCCCTTAATAAAGTGCACGTGACGCGACCTCTCCCTAGGGCGAAACAGAACGCCGACTGCCCCTCCCCCTTCCGACAAGGCCGGACTCTCGCTCTCATAGTACTTTAGCTCACCCTGATCTACCAGCGAAGCGAAGTGGACGTTGGTACATCCCAAACGAGCAGACTGAATTTCAACCTCTCATGACAGACACCAGAGTCCAGTCCGCTCGGGGCAGGGTGTTGTAGCTGGAATTCCTACGAAACGCCAGCGTCGAACAATGACAAACCGACGCAAAGCCTCCGAGAACATGACCTGTCAAGCCCACCTGACCCAGAGGTCAGAGGTCCCCAGAGCCGCGCGCGTGACAATGTTTCCTCCGCTCCGGTCACACTCACCGACTTCTCTGAAGGCGGGCAGCCGCTGCCAGCAGGTCACGGTGGAGCAGGAGCCCGATACGCCGTGACACTTGCAGTTGACCTTCGTCAGGTTGATGACCGCCTGCAGATGATACACGGTGAAGGAATGAGTTCCGCTGGAAATTCCGAGCAAGCTACAGCGCTCATTGCCTGTGGTCAAACATGTGTGGCCCATGTCATAGTAGGATTGCGTGATCCTGGTTATTTATGCGCCTGGCTGGTAGAGATGATCCCTAGTTGGCTTTTTCCATCCTGGCGAGTGAAACACAACTTAATCCTCTTGGAAAAGGACATAATCCTTATGGAAGGTTAATGGCATAAGTTAGATGTCCCCAAGCAAGTGGTCGTTTTATTTGATATGGGATGCTTGCAGGTCACGTTTTTCCATCCCAGATCATGATGGAGTGTAGTCTTTGTTCTTGAGTGATTTTAAGCTGCTTTAAGGCATTTTTCACTTCCAGAATGAATAAAAAACAGCAGACACAATGATACCACTGCCCCACAAACACACGCTCAGACTCGCGCCAATATAAACGAGTACATGCCGCTCTCATGGCTGCAGTCTTCCGAAGCGCACTGAGCCTATGAGGGAATGTGAAGCACACGGCCTCGTAAATTTGAATGCGAAACTCTCGGTACGTTGGGGCTAAACCCATTTCTTACCACGTTTGTTCTCGTGTAAACCGGAGTTCCGAGCGGCATTACTTTATGAAAGCCCCAGCTAATTTCCATCAACATCTGTTTCCTCGCCCACTGCCCCGGCTTAAGCCGCGCACATTCTCCGATCCTGTACAAGGAGCGACGATGGGTGACAACGCCTCCAAGAACAACATGCCTAGTGCCATGTACACACGCGGAAAACAAAATGGTCTATACAGCTTCCGATTGCATGCTTTTAGGGGCGCAGTTTCCTATTCAGTCAGGGGGGGGGGGGTTCAGCCCCCTGTCCCGCAACTTGAGCTTTAGCATCCCCCTAACTTTGGGAAGAAAGTGGGCAAAACCCATGTTGAGAACTGTTTTTTGGCATATTCTGGGGGCAGGTTGGGTAATTTTTCGCTGTTGAGCTCCCAACTCATTTTGCGAAACTACACCCCCATGTGTTTTTATGCATTTATTGGGATTAGAACCCGAGCCACTTACCCAGAAGCATGAAGATAAGAGGCATACTAAACACACGTCCATCGTTGGGTTCTCACGTTTACAACTCCTTAAACGATGAGCTAGACAATACGAGGAGCATAAACATTGCGATTATGTTCAGAAAACACAACATCCATTCCCATCTAATCACTTTATTGGCGCGATAGCATCTGGACACATTATCGCACCATTACCGCACTGATTGAGAGATTTTACGACTGGCGGAATATCCGGTAGTAAAAATATAAATACACCAGGCATACCAAGCCCAGAGACCGTCGTAAACTGGCTATGGCAGCACTAAAAGCATGAGAGCGTGAGACCAGGCAAAGCGCGATAAGTTTCCTGCTCTTTCAACACCTGTCTTCCCTGACACCTGACCCGGAACTGCAACTTGGCGTCTGACCCGGAACACGTGACCTGACTTCTGACTCGGGACAACGTGCATCCGCATAACGTGCATAGACGGAGTGAAGTCATCCGCTTGGGCTTTTTACTAACGGCCACCGCTATCTGGATTGGGTCGACGAGATGCACGAGGCTCTATAGCAGCACCTCTGAATGAGCATCGGCAAGGCTATGCCTTATTAATGCTGCTGAACACGAACCCGGCGCACCTGCGGCATTCGCGATCGCCGACATCGTTGAGGCCGAATGACCACTCCCGAGAATGCCCGCAAAAAGCGGATCGCTGCCCGTTGTACTCGCCGTTAATCATTCAGAGCGTGCCAGTGACTTCCTCCTGGCTAGAGTCGATCGGGGAGCAGCTGGCATGACAGGATGTGATTTGTGGCGTTTGAAATGAAAACGTATGATTAAGTACATCCTTGCGTGCGTTTCTCAGAAGGATGCACGGCCGCATACGCCCTTACGACGGCAAGAGGCCGCTGGGTTATTCCATGGAAGATCGGCACGGACATGCACTCGAGCGTGCTCGGCTGCGGAAGAGTTGTTGGTGCTACGCAAAGTCTATTTTCTGCATCCAAACATCTGAGATATATCATCATTTTTAAAGACATAATTCAAAGTCAGTTGCATTCATTCATTTCAAACGGTTTAGGTGTGACGATATCTGAAGCATAAAAAGATGTTGAAGGTTATAAACATAACTATTTACGTTCAAATTTGCACGTTTGGAGGTGGCCAAGCGTGGTAATGACTGATCAAGAGTCCGATGGAAGAATGCCGTACAAACAGTAATTTTGACCGGAAAACATAAGTTATTGATAAGTAACAACTTGATAAGGCTGAACATGCAGTCCAAGCAGAAGTCTGCTTACTTAGATGCATACACCTGCAGTTCAATTTATATCTCAAGTGTGGCTCATTTCCTGTAACGGCGAGCAAACATAGATGCCACAATCAAGGGATCACCATGACGCGACTGCCCCACGCACAACCCTTCCTCAGTCGGGGGACGGGCTGCAGCTATAACGTCAAGCAGCCAGAAGACGACACGCCGGCACCAGCCGCACCACCCACGCCACCGAGGGCGGCACGCTCCCGGGCGCCCCGGCTGCCGCCGGGCCGATCGGCACTCACGCGCCGGCCGGCCTCGTTGTTGTGCAGGTTCATGAGGGCGCGGCCCCGCCGCAGCGAGCCGGCCCCGCGCTGACGCTCGCGCTCGCGGATGTCGACGAAACCCTTGGTGAACCTGGCGGCGCAGTGACAGAGAGGCGGGATCAGTTCGATGTGCGTTGGGGCTTAGGTATGCCTGAGCCGCCGCAGAGGCATGGGAATCGTTCGGAGACATGTTCTGCGGTGTTGGCGGATATCCCATAGCAATGCATCCCGAGAAAAAAACAAGAGTGTTCTTAGTTGCGCGGCTCTGTGGCAGTTATAATCATGGTTTTACGATCGCAGATGTAGTAGGCACAGCGCACACGAATGACTTCTTTGTACCAGCGCTTGTACAAACAGACACAGCGAGCCTAGTTACATTTCCGGAAACTGTTCCAGGGCTATGTTGCGCATTTCACAACGTACACATCTTTACTCTCATCCAGACGTGGATTAAAGGACCTAGTCGATTCGCAAAGGAATCGTAACGGCCATGCCCTATCGCACACGCATACCAATGCATCCCCTATCAAGATCGAATTCCAAGCCTGTTCCGGTTATCAGCTACCTACATGATATGCGTGTCACATTAACATCGCCTTTTCATTGCGGCTCACATCAAACCAGTTCTGGACAGCCGCAACGACATACTCAAGCAGCGACACTGGAATAGCAAACACGAGCGGCACACATACTGAAGTCCTTTAAAACATTGGCATTCGCGGCCGTTGCACGCGCATTCTGCTTCGCCTGCCGCGGCACGCATGCAAGCGCGCATACTAAGATGAGCGATAAGATCGGGACCAGTGACGTCATCGCTACGGCTTCGCGGCGTGCTCGGGGCTCCACTCTACCATTGGCTGTCGTTGCCAACGATGCATTAGTGATGTCAAATGAGAAGAAAAAAAAACGCTGAACCAGCAGAATAAACGTCCGGTGAGATGGCTTCACCGGCTGAAAAATGCATTACAAATTAGGTAACTTCACTTGACGTTGGGAGTCAACAAAGGAAAGTTGAGGAAGATCCTGTCAGGCCTATTTCCCCTGCCCGGCCGTGGAGAGATCATTCAGGAATGCCCCGCAGGAGAGCAATGAGCGACACCTGAGTGGGTACGGGACTGCCGTGTCACGTCCGAGGTCAGGTCACCGTGTCGCGCTGTGAGACGCTGTCTGTGGTATGCGCCAACTGCTCGGCGTCCTCCAATCGCTTATTTGTGTTTGATTGTGACCAAATCGCCATTAAACGTTTTTGCCAAGGATTAACGAAGCTATTTATCAGCAGAATGCACTTGTGAGTTGTTGCGAAATATGAACGCCGAGCAATCAACAAAAGACGCTGGGTAGCTCAGTCTGCGCCCCACCCCCCACCCTGGCTAAGGCGGTGGGCAATGGCAGCCGGCTGACCAGCCGTGACACAGAAGCTGCCAGCAGGGGAACAGTGGCAGCCGGCTGAACCAGCCCTGACATAGTGGCCGCCAGCAGGGGAGCAGTGGCTGCTGGCCGACCAGCCCTGACACAGTGGCTGCCGGCAGGTTCGGCCCCAGCTCAGTGACTCGGCAGCAGTCGTGGCCCCGATAGCGGCTTGTGATTGCCAGTAGGCGTCCGTCCAGAAGTGACTCGACTTCGAGTGGGCTCGGTTCAAGACGGTAGCTATGAGAGACAGCGACGATTGGCGGCACACGGGTACACACGGGTTCATCCATAATAGCATACCATAACATATCACACATTAACATCTTAACATGTTAATGGCACACATGTCATTCCACGCATTTGTGCTTGTAAGTTTATACGCGGCATTAACGCGGTAACCGAAAAGATGTCAATATAACTTTTGACCAGGAATTATTCAACATCTCAAAGACTTTCAGCACAAACACCTATTTTACCTAGCATGACAAAGGGCAAACATTCGGGAAGCTCCTCGCTTGTGTATGCCCTGACACCGCGGAAAAGGAGGTGGGACGGATGCTGCAGCGTTACTGATACTTCTTCAAAATTTGGTGATGAGATATTACCTCGTTGCAGTTACATGAAAAATTCATTACAATGCATAATGCCATAATGCCATTACAATGTTTCATGCAGTTTACAATTTACTTGCTTGAAATTTGTCTGGCTGTGAACTTGCCCAACCTCGGTAATTGTAATCGAAGACAAGACAAATATGGAGAAAACATAATACAACAGCCTCGGCAATTGTAGACGAAGACAGAATACAGCTCTCAGTAATTCAGATTTTTGCAGTCAAGACCAAAGCAAAATATCGCAAAGATGTAAATATTTGCTTGGGTTTATTGATGGAAACAAACTGTGCATAGTTTGTACGGTTTTCATGGCTCAATTTGTATCTATTTAGGCCACCATGTCTTATATTGGAGTCAGGTTCACGAGACAATGACACTGATCGGTTTCCGGTCGGTCGCTGGCGAAGCGGCGATACAGGACGGCTCTGAAATCCGTCAGCGAGCTGGACCGATACTTTAGCATGCACAGCAAGAGTTGCTTTGCCGTCTTCTTATGCTCAAACCTGACACACGTCCTTAAAACGTCCCCAAAACGGGTGCATCTGTGGTCTACGCACGAGAGCGCGTAATCGTATGCACACATTGACTCACACTGTTGTCTACGCGAGTGTCCTTTTTCTCCCTGGTAAACTAGTTTATTAGTAATTAGTATCTTCCTCCAGATAACAATATGCTAGTTTCGTGTTGGCACGGCGCCAACTCGTCGAGATCTGAACCCAGCCTCAACCCGCGTTTTGCCTCGTCTCACCCGAACCGCGTACACTGCGAATGCGTAGCAATTTATGAGGCACAACGTTTAAGGCGATAAGCTTGTTTCTGAAAACTGCATACATCTGCATCAGTGGTTACAAAAGTATCGTCTTCTGGAACGCATGGAAATTGGGCGTGGCAAAGCCACTCAAGTTGAACATGTTCTTAAAGTTCAAGTACGACATAACTGGCCTGCGGCTTCATCCGCAATGATCGGAACGATGTAGTGGTCGCAACAACATGCAGTTGGCAACGTGTGTTGCCAACTCCCTTGTAGGTCACCGAACGCCAAGAGCAACGTTTGTAGTTGAAGTGTCTTTGCTTGTAGCTTTTCGTGCCTAGTGATGAATAATCCGCCGTTTTCTGGGCAGTGTCCAATCCAGTCAAACTGCTAATAAAGCTCAAATGATTCCTTTGATACAGGTAATGAGCATCACACAAACTGCAGAAAAGTCGATCTTGTACACAGCTGCTCTTCTCCTAAACTGATGAACGCAATCCGATATCAGTCAGACACAGTCAGTCAGAGTGCGCAGCGCGGACTGACCTGTATCCGTATCGGATGTTGTCGCCGCAGCCACCCCAGGTCCAGTCGGGGTCAAGGTCAGCCGGTCGTGCTGACCGGGAGCAGCCGCAGGAGGCCAGCTGGCCGTCCCGACAGGCGCGTGACACCGACATCACCACACCGGCGGCTGCGATCGAGTGCGCGAACGCCGCCTCCCGGGACGCTGCCGGAGATCAGGTCAGATTAGGTCAGGTCACCACACCGGCGGCTGCGATCGAGTGCGCGAACGCCGCCTCCCGGGACGCTGCCGGAGATCAGGTCAGGTCAGGTCAGGTCACCACACCGGCGGCTGCGATCGAGTGCGCGAACGCCGCCTCCCGGGACGCTGCCGGAGATCAGGTCAGGTCAGATCAGGTCACCACACCGGCGGCTGTGATCGAGTGCGCGAACGCCGCCTCCCGGGACGCTGCCGGAGATCAGGTCAGGTCAGATCAGGTCACCACACCGGCGGCTGTGATCGAGTGCGCGACCACCGCCCGGGACGCTGCCGGAGATCAGGTCAGATCAGATCAGGTCACCACACCGGCGGCTGTGATCGAGTGCGCGAACGCTGCCTCCAAGAACGACGCCAGAGGTAGAGTCAACTGCCACAGAGAAGAGAAGCGCATGTCATATATGCCTATTAATACTCATTCATATGGACAGGGCTGTGTGACACAAACGATCGTATCTTTTGTACTTAAAGTGGTATGGTCGCGAATTCCATTTCAAGCTACAATACATCACATCAAGTTACGTATCATAAACATAAAGGTGTCATTTGTTTCCGACCCGATCGTACACCGAGCTAAGCTTGTTCGTCCAAGATACGACACATACCATTTTGCCTTTGGCACGACAGATGCTAGGACAAGCCAAGGGTATCAAGTGGGCTAACAACAGCCCCAGGAGAAATTCACAGGTGTTTTCAGATCATTCAATCACTTGGAATGACTTGATCCAACGGAAAACGGTTTTGTCAGTTCTACACAGGGCGCTAAAATACGTGTCTCACAAGTTCATGCCGGACAACTGGGCTGGACAGGGGAAGAGCGACACGGGCGGGCATGGGTCGACGCGCCGCCCCGCAGAGACTTCCACTCACGGATCTGCAGGACGGGTCCGAAGACGGACGAGTCGTCGACGGTGGAGCAGTTCCAGCGGCTGCTGCTGAACTGGTGCTGACACTCGGCGATGCCTGCCCGGGCGCCGCGGCCCACGCTCCGCATGTGGTCCTGCGGGCAGGGGCGCGCCCCCGGCACACTCAGTCGGCCGCCCCCACCCTCCACCCCGGCTCCGGCAGGGGAGCAGTGGCAGCCGGCTGACCAGCCGTGACAAAGTGGCTACCAACAGAGAGAGAGAGGGGGGGGGGGGCAATGGTAGCCGGCTGACGTGACTGAGCTGGAGCCAAAGCTGCCGGTATCAGGTCCGGCTCCAGCTCAGTGATTCAGCAGCAGTCGTGGTTCTGATAGCGGCTTGTGATTGCCAGTAGGCGTTCCTGCAGTAGTGACTCGACTTCGAGTGGGTACGGCTCAGACCGGTAGCTTTAATAGACATGAGGAATTGGCGGCACACGCGTTCGGTTTTACAGTTACCTTGTCCAACTCGAAGACTGGAGATGCCCTGCGTGTGTTAGATTTTAATTAATGCAACCAATTGAACAATTGTGAGCGACTCTGCCTTCTCTTCTGCCAATGACGGAGTCTAGACGATGGATTGGACTTACCAAGTAGCATGACTGCTCCTAATTCTTACGATGCCTTTCTTTTTCCAGACGCTCTCAATTCCTGTTGCAATTTGTATGCCAAGCCCTAGCCTCAGCATGGGTCACCAAGGTTCCGGAACAGCAAAAGGTCATAAAAATGGCATTTTCCCCACGGGGGAGCCGTTATAAAAGCTTGGAGGAAACGTCACGAGTCTGTGTGCGCCAGACAAAGGTTTTGGTACACCCAAATCCGAAAGGAATTTTGGGGGTTTTGCGCTTATTATAGAATAATTGCAGCGGAGCATTCTGCTAACAATTGCACGACCCATAGCGAGCGTGTGAAGATGGCAACCAGCGTTCACAACTATTTCACCAGCGCGTCAGTTTATCAGCGAATCATGTTTTCATTATCATTAGGGAAAAATTTGTATGGGCTGACTGATGGAGCTGGCACAGCTTCCTCTGCTCCGGATTGAGGCCCTGTATCTACTGACCTGACGGAACTGGCACAGCTTCCTCTGCTCCGGACTGAGGCCCTGTATCTACTGACCTGACGGAGCTGGCACAGCTTCCTCTGCCCCGGACTGAGGCCCCGTATTTGGCCGCACAGAGGGGACGTCCCCACCATGTAGATCTGCGGGTTCCTCCAAACGTCCAGACCTTGCATCCCGAGGTTCCTGGAACAAACGGTGACATGTGTTAAGTAAACAAGGCATACCGTACTTATTCACTGTTGCTCAATTAGTGAAGTGTCGGCCACAGACCGATTCGTGGTAGGCATGTGGGCCACGGCCAAGAGACCCCGCTTACGTGGCTCGTCTTTGGTCGTCCGTTGGCTCCTGTTTAAGACAGCCAGCCTGAGGCAGGGCAGCCGCAGCATAAGTATTTACAGCGCAGACGTAGCATAAGCCTGGTACGTCCAAACCTTTCGGAAAAATCCTTTTAATTGATCTGGCTCTACTGAAATTGTGGTGTCAGTGTCCTTTCAACATCGTTATAAAAACTCCAATCGCAAAATTATCCCTGCAACACATGATAAAATAATAATAAAAATATAAAAAGACAAGTTTGGGAAGTGTGCAAATGTTGCAATGATACCAAAATTGGTGTGGAAAGTTTGATTATTTTAAACAAACAGAGGCCAACCGATTTCGCTAAACGGAAGACGATGCGACCACAGCCTCCCCAATGGCGCTATCAATGCGATAATAATCACTTCAAATCGTATGAAAATCCTTAAGAATCATGTGATGATTTGACTCGATGATTTGATGTGATTGCATGTGGCCAGCGTTTGCGTGAACACCTTCGTTATTTCAGTCCTAAAAAAGTATCATTCATTCCTTTGGTAATGAAGGCCTTCATATCAGACGTCTTCTTTACATCCCCTTCTCCTTCCTTACAGCCCGCAACACCACCGAAAGTGAAAAACAGCATAATTGTGAAAGCTTAACCCACAAAATGCCATAATTACGATCTCGCATGGTCAGCAATGTTCCGTACAATGGCGAGGCAAAACTGCATCACACATCAAGGCCAAGGGGCGCGAAAAGATAAAGTCGACGGTTGATTCGTCGTCAAAGTGACCAAAGTTAACATTTTTACACGACACGTAAGTGTGACGTTTACATGTTAATGAAATATGCTTTAAGTTTGTTTAGCACAGTGCAAATGTAATGAATCTGAATCATTTGGTCATGAAGCCAAGCGCTTCCCCTCAAAATGGGGTGTTTTGAAACAGTTAGGGTGTATCTACTAAACAAACTTTCGGGCACGGTGCATGAGCGCATCTAAAGCCCCGAAAAAAGAACACCACCAAGACACACCAAAGTACAACTCGCACAATGCCTCAATATCCATACGCAACGAACTCTTCAGAAAATATCAAAGCTTAGGCGAACGTATACAAAAAAGGAAATATACGAGATTAGCTCACTATCACAGAACTGCTACCAAAAACAAAACTGCTGAAGCCCCTGTAGGTGACCATTTTATCACTTTATACGATGACTAACAAATGCCAGTCTGATAAAATCCCTCTTTGCACTCGGATTTTGTAGAAATCAAGGACTAATCTCACTAGAAAATTTGTGGATCACATTACGTTTGCGAACTGAAACCTTTCTTGGACAAAAACGCAACGTTATGACCTATCTTGTAAGCTGTAGTTTCTGACCGTTGTCAAATCGCTCATGTGTTCTCTTTTTGTATGAGCTTGTCTAAACTGAGTCCCGGTGCATGGCTGGTCGCGTGCTGATATTAAAGCATTTGTGTCGTTTACCCTGGAGTGTCTTGGTGGTGTGTTTTCTTATTTTTTCCTTCGCGATATTGGGCTGTACCCGAAAATTCATAAAATCAAATACACTCGTTTTCAAAACAATGCATTTGCAAAGCTGTTAACACTTGCTTGAAATACACTTACCATGCACTGTTTAAGGATTTAAGTTAAGTGTTTTAAACAAAGTACGAGCGAAATACCAATCCAGACGGATACTGAGAGGGATCAGGGGACGGAGAACCCCGTCCACTTCCAGTTCTTGTGACCTTCAGCTCTTGTGACCTTCACCACCTTCAGCTCCTGTGACCGGCCCAACGCGTGCCCTGTTGCCGTTGTTGCAGGCACTGTGGCTGGTGCTGGCGCCAGTCCTGGCACTGCTCGCGCTGCTGCCACTGACGGTGGTGGCGATGGCGGTGGACTGATCGGCCTTGGCACTCTGTAAGTGACGCCTTGCCCTGGTGATTATATATGTTCTTCCACCGGCTCAACCGACCGCTTGGTATGGGTTAGACCAATTATTTTCTACCGGCAGTCCTGGTCTTACTAAATTCTCAGGATCTGGTGTTGGCAGGGACTGTGCTGCATCCGATCACCTCAAGGAATCTGACCGATAGTCCATCAGAGTCAGCCGTGGATCCTGTTCAAGAAGCGTTCTCTTCTCTTTGACAACGCTCGTTCTGGATTTCCGTTTCCTCTGGGGCAGTGCGGGACTGGTGGGGCATGGCTGGAGTGCCAGTCAGTAGCGGGGCGGCGGAGCTCTGCGCTCGTAGACTGTCGACCGCTATCAGAGCGCATTTCTTCTGATGTTCTTAGTGTTACCGAGTGCTGCCATTTGTTCGATGACTTCTTCTCTTGTTGTTCGGTTTATTTGGACAAGTTAAGTCCAACGGCTGCAGAAACCGTCTAGTGCCAAGCTCGGTTTTTTCAATGTGCCCACATGGGTCTGCGCCTAGTTTCTGTCATGAGAGTCCAGATGGTCCACGTGACTCAGCTTCCGTCAGGGGCGTCGCGGTGACCCACATTACCCAGCTCGCTAAGCTCGACTGTGCTTCTGGCATAACTGGCATGGGCATGTTCTCTTCTCCATATGGATGGACAGCGCGGGACTGCTTGGCACAGATTTTGCATGCCCCCAGGCTACTGTGTTGATCATGCCGCCGATTGGGGATGATCAATTGTATTTTCGCCATGATTATGGTGAGAAGAAGGTTGTATGTGATAATGAGCCCTGCTCTACTCTGGTTGCATGCTCCCAATTCTTCTTCTGGTGAGTCTGGCCAGTCACGTTTTGGGTACTCAACGAGCAATTACAATAAAGGGTCTTCTTTTTGCGTTTCATTCTCTTATCAGCCTCTGCGGCTCCAGTACCATGGGGACAACTGCATGCACGTGTGCAACCACAGCTTCTGGGACGTAAACCCAGCTCGCCTCTAGCTGAGTCCATTAAGTGGCACGACAGAAAGTCTGCCACAGCCGGATGCCGTTCACTTCGAAGCGGTGTCTGTGCAGGTCCTTGCCTTTCATCAGCGGGCATTGCGGTTTGCGGGCCGCCTGTAAGCGGGAGGACTGAAGGCCGCACACTTATGGATTACATTTTCACATGCCCAAACGGCCGCCAAACAACCATTTTCTACTTGCACTTAGCGCCGCTCTGTTTCATTCAGCATCTTGAGCTGAAGGCCATTGGCTTGCAGCTAAAGCCGTGGCACTGTGGCAAGATTGCTTCGAGACCAGAGTAGCTACCCTGAACTGACACCAATGCGGGCTAGTTGCGGTAAAAGTGTTTATAAACAGGTACATTGGCGATGAGCTTCTATGTCTTTCTGAGCGCTTCTTTCGGTTTTGAGTCACAGCACCAACTGTTGTATCTCGCCAAGTCATTCAAAGGTGCCAGGACTGTTTGTGCTCCTGGGATCAGTAACGTTCTGATCTGATATGATAGTGTTCCTGGGATCAGCTGGTCACGCCTAGGACTGGCTGCAGGTCAGTTTGGTTCTTTTGCGTTTTGAGGACTTGGACTCCAGGCATTGTCTGGTCTGGAACCCGGAGTTCTCCTCGGTTACGACGTGGCCAATTGACTTCACCGAGTCCTGTCTGAATTGATGCTGAACTTTCTCGATGTTGCGCACTTGAGCTTGGCTAGAACTTTTCACAGCCGTTCGTCATGTCTGTTTGTGTGGCGTCTTTGTACTTCCATTTTATTCATGTATATAGCCACACATTATATTTATTGTAGAAGTTCTGCAACCTTGAAATGGTATCTTTCTGGAGCAACATTGCATTCCACCAGCCAGGCATGTACCTGGAGCCGCCACAAAGATTGCAGAATCCTATCCCATGATCTGTCAACCATATTACTCTATGGGATCCTGGATCCTCCGCCTTGGGATCCAGACAATTGATCCAGGTAATCTCTTTGACACGTCTCGACCCAGTTGCGTTATGGAAGACGTCACATTCTGGCCTTCTGTGGTTATTTCAATTTGATGGCAGCCTGCTGACGCATTCAGTTCGGATAATGCTTCGCTCACGAAAACTGGACGAAAAAACTCCTCGAACACTGGATGGCTGCAGTTCTCCCGAAGGGAGGATTGCGTTCTCACAGGCATCGGGTGGTCTTGGTTTTTTTTCTCGGTTTTACCGCTGTCACCATGGGCGTGCACCGCCATCTATGTGATGTCATCCAGGCGATAACATCTTGTCCCTTCACGTAATATGGCGTCTCTTTTACAGCACTGTGGGGCGGGATCAGCACAGTTCCTGCTGCGGTCGCTCTTATGGCTGTACTTCCTTTTTCAGCTGCAGCCTCACAGGCTTACTATTCCAGCACACCAGCCAAACACATTCATACATCAGCGGAGTGGAGGGAATGGGCTGGGCCCAGCTTCTCTGCCTCTAGCCTAACGCATTAGGACTTTGCTTTTTTGTTTTAGCTTGGGTATTACACAAATGTTCATTTGCACACTGATGCATTCTTCCTTGTAATTGTTTCGAAGAAACCAAGAGGTGCCATATTTCCTCCTGCATTGTACCAGGACGCATCACTCACCCGGCATGAAGCGTTAGTACTCAGCACCTTATATCAGCCACATCGGCTCCTACGTCGACTTTAAGTATCGCTTTATTGCTGCAGATCCGCATATCTACTAAGCAACTTTTCGATGCCCTACATTTTTTAATGTTCGACTATTCGGTATTTTCTGGCTTAGTTTTTTCTGTATTTTGTCTTTTATTTATTCGAGGAAGGTTTCTTCATCAGTTGCATTCACTCACTGCGTGTATCTATTGTTTACCTTCTTAACACCGTGGTTCTTCATTGCGAAGAGGCTAGGCTTTCTTCTACAAACTGCGCATGTCCTGACAGGTGCTGGACGTTTTCGTGCGATTAGTTACAACCACAAAACAGGAACTTTCACTGTCGCTTATTTTGGTCTGGAATTGCGAAACCCGATTCCTGTGATGCGTCTTCCTTTGATTTTTATTCTCACACGTATTAATGCATGCAATAAATTTCATAACGGAGGGGCATGTGCCACGAGGGGGGGGGTGGTATGTGAGTGCGTCACTGCCTGCATGCCTTTGCATTCCATCGCATGCTTTTATGTAGTCCACCAAGACTTCAAGCGACGTACCACGCTCCGATATGCGAAGGATTTCAAGGCGCTGAGCCAACTTCTGATCTTTCACGACTGAAATTAAATCTAAAGTTCAGACATTTTTTCCTAAAAAAATTACAAATGATCTTTGTTTTACTCCTCCTTTTCTACTTAAAAAATCATGCTGTTCAGGTAGCGCGTAAGGGTGGCGTACAAAAGCTTTGGTTGGCTCACTATCTTCCTTCTTCCATTTTTGAATGTCGGTTTGAGTCCGAAATCATTTTTCTTCGGCGCAAAGTACGCGTGGAGCAGGCCCGCAGTCAGTGTAACACATGTCGACATGTTTGCAGGCGCGGGACGGGAAATGCTGACTAAATGACGCACTTCACTAACGTCCTTAGTTAAGTTTAGTACTAGACGATGTGCTCCGATTTTCCATAGTTAGGACTGTCCTGCCCTCTCCGGCAGCCAGGTGCAACGGCATCCTTCTCTCCCCAGTCCAGCGTCCGCTTGGAATAGCAGCGGCATGTGGCTGGCTCAGTGGGCTCTTTATGATGTCCTGGTCCGATCCATCACGGCGAAGGTTCGCGTTCACAGGCGGACCCCTGTCGGCCCCGCTCTGCACGAGCTCGCCGCGCTTGTCGGGGAGCCTCCCCGCCGGTCCGACGTGACAACGCGCCCGCCCAGTGCGAGCGTCGACACCCGGCGCAGCTAAGGTCCGGACACAGGACGGGCCTGTCCGCACCCCCGCACTGCTGCCGCCTCCACCAGGCCCCGCCGGCAGGAATGCCGCAGAACCCTCCCCTGCGGCATGAGCTGCCAGCTCCCGGTAAAATCTCGATAAATTGGGATTCAGAGATGGTGGGGGCGCAACGCGAAAATCTCGCGGCAATGTCTGTATATGCTGACGGAATTGTTTTATCGGACAATGGTCTACAGCCTTCCTTCTTCTCATCAAATACTGCGATCCTTTCACGGATCGTTTAAGGAAACGTCGCACTGAATAATTAACGATCTTATGCGCATGAGTGCGCAAGCATGTCGTGTATTCCTTTATCATCAGTGTGTGCTGGGATTTACTTTCACTCAGTGACGTCTCTACAACTAATTCTGAATAGTATCAGGAGACAAAACGCGCACATCTGTAATGCCTCGCTCCTGAAGCGAGACACACTCGAAGGTCATTGGACGCTGTCCGCGTCACGTGCGCGATCGTGGCCGAGTGGCGGCTCGGCAGCGGCGGCAGACGGTGGACACGCACGGGCCGCAGCTGGGCCAATAGTGGCTCCACTCTGCTCGGCACGGACGGCAGAGCGCCGCGGTCTGCCCTCCATCGAGGCGGCGGAGGCTTTCCCAACGGGCCTGGTGAAAACGGTCCAACTGCCGTTACCCGATAGCACTGAGTGGCGTATCCCCGAACGCCAGCCCGGATCAGGCGGCCCCGACACCAACACATGCTGCAACATTCAGGGTAATGGTGGACCGTGCGGCTCATCCGTCTGCATTAGGGCTCATTCTCGCGTGAAAGAAACATCCTCTCCGAATTCAGTAACCGGGAATTGGGTATCAATTTTCGGTATGCCTTGCTTTAAAGGGCACGTAAAGGATAACTGCACTACGAGTGAACAAGTTAGGGCAAGAATTGTGCGATGGCTCCACACTTGCCACCTTCAAAGTGACTTCTCTCTTAATTCTCAACTTCTTTTTATAACCCATTCGTTTTCGCTCTGGCTCTTTTTTAAACTCTTCTTCTCAACCGCACCGCGACCACGCTACATCACGTAAACTTCGAGGCAGTCTTTTCATTCCCATTTCGGATCTCTCTGAATCGCATCAGGTGTTGCTGCTTCCTATCCTGCGAATAAGTCGGACCACATCGGATGTGGAGCTCATCCTGTGCAGCGGGTCAGATCAGACACGTGCCTGAATTCAAAAGGAAAGGGGGCCCGAATCACGCCGCATCCTTGATCCCAGAAGATCCTATCGGGCTGATTTGTGCAATGAATCCTGAATTCCGGAAGATCCACGACCTAGGAATCAAGAATGCGATATCGGGATTTATTTCTGGGATTTGGGCACATGTCTGTCAGAAATTTGCAGCCAACGGATCCATACAGCAGCATAGGCACGGCCAGGAGCCACGTCTAGTCCGATCACACCGGGCACTGCTGAACGCAAGCACCCCTCAACCCAACAAGCAAAGCATGTTAAAAAGCTATTGCCACGCTAGATTACCACACATTTTGCAATCAAACAGACAAAATTTTGCTTTCTCAAGTGGGCAAGCTCAAGGACTGACGTTCTTTCTAGATCGTGTTTTTGTCTTGTGCCTGCGACTTTCGGTGACGGTAGCTGCGTTGGAGTACCAAACCAGTCCTCCCACGTCCTATGTCAGTCTGTAATAGATGTCGTTTGCAGGAGTTACCCAGTGTCCCTTCGTCTCATAATCCACGATCGGAGAACGCCCGATCACGAACACCTCTGGCCCGCCCCGCCCCGCCGCGTCCTTCGCAGCCGCCCTGCTCTCGCCGCCGCTCTGGCCGGCGCCAGGGAAGACACCCCTCAGACCGGCCATCCGTCTTCTGCGCGGGATCGGCGGCACAGGCACGCCGACACCGGATTTGTATGCGGCTTGGGCGTGGGCCCAGTGAAGGGATGAGATCGCCGATAATGGGCAGGACACGCCATTTCACGGGGTGCCCGGGGCATCCGATCCATTGCTCCACACAATCCGGTGCGATGACTCGTGGCAGGCGACGGGGGGAGAGCTGTAAACACATCGGTCGGTGTCAGGCGCCTGGTGGAGGCGCGACACCTCTGCAGGGCTATGAGGAGTGATCGCAGGACCGTGTCGCATCAGAGGGTTTAGCAGTCAGCCGCGGGAGTGCGACGAAATGGCAGCGTTGTCATCACGCTGCGCGTGAGAACCAATAATTCACAACGCACACCAATGACGGGCTGTGGCAATGGCACACCTGCATACCAGACGCATTCACCAGCAGGCAGAGAACGCCGGGGAGTGAGTGAGAGGGTGCCGTCTGTGTCCGGGTTCGGAAGTGGGTGCATAAGAGGCACGCTGGCCCGCTCTGCTCCGGCCGGCCCCGGCATCACCGCCATATTCATCACCCCACCGCCCGCTACTCGCCGCGGACAGCGTAATGTGCCCGACGCGGTGCGCCGTAATTGAAAGCGCCTAATACCCTGTAGTTACCGGCACCGCGATGAATGGGGAGAAATCAGTGCAGACCCAGAGGGTCCAGGGAGCGTTGGCACTGACCATTCTGACCTGGATGCGTAGCGCCGGTGCATCCACATGCGAACGCGGTCCGAGGATGGTTTTGGTACACACCGCTTCTGCGGTCAATCGGCATTGCCCTCGCAACGGGGAGCGGTTGTTGAACCGTTGGCTTGCGGACAGGCCACGCGTGTCGGCGTCCCTGGCCGTCAATCAAACAGCCCAGGACGAGTGTCGGCATCGCAACTCGCCTTTGCCATACACCAGCTGGCCGTGTCTGAAATACAGGATGTCCCCCAGCCCATGTGTTTTCAGCGTCAGGTCACCGTCTTCCAACGGGCACAGCTCGATTTCGATCAGCACGAGCCTTTAAGACACCAGATTATAGACAGGTCTTGCTCCAGTTTCTGTGCAGGTGCGTGACAATATTATTGTGTCCAGTACTGAAACCTGTCCATCCATATACCGAAGTCCGGCGTCATTTTCCGACATTGGGAAAAGTAACCCGGCCTAATGTCCCGCCCTGGTGCGTCACAATGCGTCGCCGAAGCCGACACCCAGCCCCCTGTCTGTGCACGCGCGCTACGGCACACCGTCGCTCGGTGTGTGCGTGTGTGTGTGTGTGTGTGTGTGTGTGTGTGTGTGTGTGTGTGTGTGTGTGTGTGTGTGTGCGTGTGTGTGTGTGTGTGTGTGTGTGTGTGTGTGTGTGTGTGTGTGTGTGTGCGTGCGTGCGTGCGTGCGTGTGACGTGGTCCCAACATTTCAGCTGCGTCTGTCGTATGCCTGCATCCTGCAGTCATGCGCCAATAAGGAGGGCAGTGGCAGAGTAAGGGGTAGATCTTAAGGATGCAGTCCTACTCAATCCACCAATACGATGAACTTCAATCCAGTACATTCACCATTTCACCTCCTCCACAAAATCCAAGCCCAGCCCTGACTTATTTGACGCCGCTAAATCCGCCCCGGCAAAGTGCATATCAATTGGTCACGTACCAGCTCACGCTGTATGGATTCACATTCAGTCAGCTCCAGCTCATGCATGCCCATCTGATAATGTAATGCAATCCAATCATCACATTTTTCATTTGGAGCTATTCCCATTCAATCAGGTCCAATCAATGGGTTACTCATTGCGTGACGAGCCTAAGAGTTGGACCTGAGCATGAGGGTCTAGCAGAGCCGAGTGCTAGCCGGGTTCGCCGTCTGCAAACCCTGTCAGGTACCGTGACCGCGTCTGTCCGTTGCTTGCAGCTCTCAGGCAGTCCTGCTTTCCCCGCCTCTCGCTCGCGTCCCCGACCAGCCGGCCCGGCTGGACCGTGTCCCGTTGAGGGAGCCCGGCCCGGCCGGACCGTGTCCCGCTGGGGGAGCCCGGCTCCGCCGGACCGTGTCCCGCTGGGGGAGCCCGGCTCCGCCGGACCGTGTCCCGCTGTGGGAGCCCGGCCCGGCCGGACCGTGTCCCGCTGGGGGAGCCCGGCTCCGCCGGACCG